TAGGATTTAGGGTTTAGGACTTAGGGTTCAGGATTTAGGGTTTAGGATTTAGGGTTTAGGATGTAGGGTTTATGATGTAGGGTTTAGGATTCAAGGTTTAGGATTTGGGGTTTAGGATGTAGAGTTTAGGATTTGGGGTTTAGGATGTAGAGTTTAGGATTTAAGGTTTAGGGTGTAGGATTTAGGGTTTAGGGTTTAGGATGTAGGGTTTAGGGTTTAGAAATCTTATAGCCCTAATCCAAGAACAGTTCCGCACCCCCTAAAGCGATCTAATCCCTCATTCCTCGGGAGTCAATGAAGCCCAAAAAGCCTAAGCCCCAACCCCCCTACATGTAGCTCCAATTACCTACAGCTTAATGGGAATTACCTACTAAATAGGAGGCAATTACTACTAAACTGTAGGTAACTGGGGTTACAGGTCCCCATTTTTTCATCCCCAGCCCCTAGACCCGAACCCCAATCTTTAAGGTAACAGGTATGGGCACCTAATAGTGTGAGCCCTTAGGCTTTTCAGGGGGATTCTTGGGACCCGTAAGGGTACATGTAGGAGTAGACGGTATGTATGGTATGTAAGGATCCCAGGGTTAAGGGCCTGTACCAGGGGGCCATGGTTTCAACCTTAGAAACCCTCAGCCATAAACCTTAAATCCATACACCCTTAATCCATACATCTTAAATTCTATAAACCTTAAACCCCAAAACCGTAAATTCTAAAACCCCGTAATCCCTAAACCTCATATCCTTAAATCCTCAATCCCTAAACCCTGAATCGTAAAGGTGCCGTGAGACTTGGCAAGCCAAGGGGAGAAAGCCTCAATGGGAGCCTTGCGGTGATCAGTGAGAGGGTTTAGGGTTTAGGGCTTGGGGGTTTAGGGTTCTGGGTTCAGGTTTAAAAGCCCTGCATGACCTTCACATGCTAGAACACCATAATTCCCACGACTTAAGATACATAGGGTCATGCAGGATTTCCAGTGCCCACCGTAAAGTTGAATGTTTACGGATTCAAGAAATTAGGGGTTTTAGTCCGTAGAGCGTTTCAGCAAGCTTTGAGAGTATAGCGATTGGGGTTAGTGATTTGTTTTTGGAGGTTGGAGGGTCTAGGGTGTTGGCGTCTAGAATTTGGCAAGGCTTTGGATTTAGAGATCAAGCCTTTAGTGTTTTTGAGCGGGCATTTGGGATTTTGTATGTTTGGCGTCGGTGTTAGAGACTAGGGCTCGGTGCTTTTCGTGGGGGGCTTAAGTGTGTAGAGATTAAGATTCAGCGTTTCCCTTGGAATGGCTAACGATTCAATAAGCTTCAGGGTGGAGACTCACGTAACCCTGAGCCCTAAGCCCAATCCAGGGGGGTTTATTGGGGCTCAGCATCCGGATCCCTAAGCCCTAAACCCTAAATCGTAGTTGCCATTGTATTTTCCATTATCCCAAAATAACCCCAATATAACCAAACCCTAAACCCTAAGCCCTAAACCCTAAACCCTAAGCCCTAAACTATAAAGTGCAAAGGTGACAATAGACGCAATAACTCCCAGGCGGAGCTTTGGGTTTGGGGTTTCAGGATTTAGGGTTTAGGGTTTTAGGGTTTAGGGTTTAGGGTTTTAGGGTTTAGGGTTTAGTGTGTACGGTTGAGGGCAAGGGTTTCAGGATTCAGGGTTAAGGGTTTCAAGTTTAGGGTGTTAGGGGCCTTTTGTGCGAATAGCACAAACAGTACGTCTTGCCTAAACCCTAAACCCTAAACCCTAAATGCGGCTAGCCCTCGTGCTCAAGGGACTGCTTGGCATTTTAGGGCATCTTACACCAGATGATGTACGTATTGTAGCAGCCTATTTCATCAGAGTTAGTGTTGGGTGTATACTATCGTGTACCTATGCAAGGATTGTAGGGAAATGATACTTAACATGCACCTCTGTCAGCGCCCTACATAACCGACCCCAGGTCTCCAGTTACCTAAATAATGGGAACTGGGTTCCATATACCCTATACACAGCCCAGTAACCTAGTACTGAGGTAACTGGGAGCCCTAGGGCAAGAGAAACTACTTAGCCCTAAACCCTCAATGATCGCAAAGATCCAAGTGTGTGATGAGGCACGGGATGAGCCCTCGCTATCCATGCTTGACAAGTAAAATGCGAAACTCTATTTCCAGGTGGTCCATATGACCGCGAATAAATGAAGCGGTGTCAATCTTATTTGTTTGGCCTCTCTTGGTTTTTGAATTAGAGAGTCCCCATCGATTTCCACGTTTTGGGGATCTTTCTTAACCCAATCTTAGAAGCATTAAGCCTATAGTTTAAGGATGGCCCCTATCGATCTTGGGGAGTTTTGCGCAACAACTACCGCCTAGACAAAATGAAGTAAACGGTAATTCTGACCGCGACTCATATACCTACATGGACCGCTTGGGATTGCAATCCATAGTTCTAGTGCCTATGGGCTAGCAATGACTCAAGTAGTTAACTAATCAAGCTTGATTACAGATTGAGCGCTTACGCATCTAAAACCTAAAGGAACATCGCGGCGCTGTGCATTTTGTACAGCCTTGGTGCCGTCAGCTCTTAGGAACCGAAAGCAAAGCCAAGGAACAGGTTTACCAGTTACTTAGGGTCTACTTAGAGTAATCCATCATATAGCTCGAACAAACGGTCTCGTGCCTAATATTTGTGTAGCTTGCCCCTGTTTTAGGAGTCTAAGTATACTCGTTCTGGGGCTAGGGTTTACAGTCTATAGGTGCTTTTCTTCAACTGCGAAGGAAAAGATGACGGAATGGTTGCGATGTAACGACTCAAGATTCAGCAGGACGATTTGAGATCTAGCGTAGGCTTTCCAAAGGGCGTTCATATACTTGCGAAGTACATACCTGGGACTAAAAGTAGCTAAGCAGGAAGCCCTTCGGGCCCGAAGCATCCATCGTATACCCACACAAACCGCAAGGGCTTCACAAAACCCTAAACCCTAAACCCTACACCCTAAACCCAAAACCTTTGCCATCCGCAAGAGACCTTCTCAACATTCAGAACCGAATGCAAGGATCGCCGCCAGGTCCAACCATTGGGTTTAGGGTTTAAGGTCCAGAGCTTGGGCCCCAAAATCCTTACGCCTGGGGAATGTCGGTAATGTAGTATAACCTACTAAGCTCTGGCGGGGTTTTTATATCAGCAGAAGGGCTACCCCACAATTCTATACCACACGTGGCACAACTAAGTGATGTTATCACTTAAATGGCTCATATCCAAATGTTCAGTAGCCCTACGCCAACCCAGCAGCCTACTAAACTCTGCAAGTTCCAAGTACCAAGGCACTGGGTACTTGGACACTCTGGCCTTTGCATTACTTGGAAGCTCAGGGACTCTTGCAATTAGATCTTACTTCAAGGGGTTACAAGTAGGCCAAGCCATGCGGGGACTTATAACTCCTTTCAAGCCCTGAACCCTAAACTCTAAACCCTAAAAACTCAACCCTAAACCCTGAAGCGCGTCTTATGTCCCCGGAGCTATCCATCATGGCATGTTGTAGATGCCCACGCCAAGCCGTCTTCGGGCAACGCGAGCTCGAAGGCCCCTCAAAGTAAGGGTTCGAAAAAGCAAGAGTCGCATAATCCTAGTCGGGTATGCAAGTACGCATGCAAATATGAGTGCCCACATCGGCAATGTACAAATTTCCGACAACATCCAGCCGAAGATGTGCCCAACTGCAAGCACGAAGAAATTAACATGCTCCGTCTGGTCGTACGCAAACAAGAAAAAGGGCCCAAACATCGACTGGAGCCGTATGATGCACTCCACAAACTGCTTGTTCATGGCAGAATAACAGAAGACGACCGGAACGATCAAATGCAGAACCATCAGCAGTTTGTTTGTGTACCAAAAAGCTGCGATATAGCAGGCAACGAGAGCTTTGGGCCAACCAGCATCAGCAAAGTTTGGGTTGCCGGACTCAAGAAGTAAGGACACGGCCCTCTCGTTCCTCTGGCGCGATGCCGCCACAAGACTTTCCTGCAGACCTGACTAGTCAAGTCAACTCTAGGGTTTAGGGTCATATTCTCTTCTTGTACCACACCCACAAGGCGCATATGTTCCTACACTATATTGTGGACTATAGCATCCCAAATCGAATTCCCCTACAAGTGCCGAGCGTTCATTTCATTGCCCATTGTCTTTTGACCTTAATTCTCCATTATCGGAGTATTATCCCATCAGCTAAAATGTGACCCACCTGCAGGCGTTAGGCCGCCGGGTGCCCCAAGGATCCTTTGCATGGTTTGCACACGACCGGCTTCAGCCGCAGCTTTCAAAGCTAGATCTTTGTTGCCAGCAGCAGCCAATAGCAAGTCCACCACATCGTCATGCCCCTTGCGCGATGCGTCCACAAGAGCTGGCTGAGAGGGCAAATCCCGTGCCCCAACCTTGGATGTTGCTGCGGTACTGTACAGAATGTTCACTGTTCAGATATGTCAAGTTCAAGGAGACGAAAACATGCACCAAAATAAGGGGCCAAGTGCACACATATTGGGGCTTTAGGTACCCTAAACCCTTACCATGTGGGTACTTAGACCCTTATAGGGAATGGCATGTAAAGGACACCAGGCAACTTCCAGCAAGAGACGCACAGTGCTCGCCAGGCCACACCTTGATGCATTCTGCAGAGCAGTCAAGCCTTACTGGTGGGGTTTCGGGTTTAAGGTCGGGGGTTTTAACGTTTAGGGTTTAGGGTTAGGGTTGATGATTTATAAGTAGGGTTTAGGGCTCTGGGTTTAGGGTTTAGAAGGGAGAGTGAGAGAGTGGATCCTTTTCATAATCCATGTATAACCCCAACGTATACTGCTATACCGCTATGATATTTCCTACACGCACTTCCCTGAACCGTCTGCCAGTAAGAAGCGCTCACCTCCCAAGTCTGCGGCCAAGTTTGGGTCATGGCATTCTTCCAACATGCGTCGCACGCTGAACTCAAGGCCCCATCCTGCAGCCTCGAACAGGGTTTAGGGTTTAGGAAAGGCTCCATGTACCCAAGAATTAGGTCCCTTCAAGTGGGACATATAGGGGTTTCTAGTGGTATATGGGGTTTAGGGTTTTAGGGTCCAATGGTACCCAATAATTAGGTACTTGGGCTTTGGGTAATAGAGACTATGGTATTGGTTCTGGGTAAGTATATGTTTTTATTAGGTACTTGGATCCTCAGGGCATGTGCCTAGAATGACCCATATGAGCTATTGCCTAAACTCCTAGCATCCCTTTTCATAGACCCTATGGTAGTCCCCTAAATAACCCCTTGCAAAATTTTCTCTCTAAGGAAATTAAAATTATGGCTCATACACCTAGAAGAAAGGGTTTTGTACCTAGTCTTTTGGCATCTTCACCTTTTTATTCACGGGGCTAAGGTTCTAGGCACGCGAGCCTCGACAAACATGTGCGCGTGGACAGGGGATGGTTCACGAAAAGGAATCACAAGAAGCTGCAAGTCGACAAGCAGGTCCTCTGCTCTGTAGCAGTTGGTGGAGTAGCCAGGTCGCGTGAAGTATGAAAACATGCCTATGGCCATGCAAACATCCATGAACTCATTATCCAGAATGTTGCAGCCATGCACCAGTCTCATCCGATACCAAGGGATTGCAGCGAGCGCCTGCAAATCTATCTTCAGCTCTTTCACTGTCTTCCGCCGTGCTAAATGTAGCGGGAAAGCAGCCACCTCCTGCCCTGATGGTCTCCAGATGCGAAGCATCTGAGACGATTCTTCAGAAGGCACGTGAGGGGGTTGAGTGTTTTCTTAGTCATTCTAACAAGGTTTCGGGCGTGTTGCATTCTAACTGTATAAGCATGTCATGGAACTATTCCTAATCATGCAGGCTTTACATGGATTTTCAAGCTTAGAAAATACGAGTTTCGTTCACAATGTGATTCATGACGCAACTCTTTGCAAAGCCTGCAGGCTTTTGCATGTCACGTGTGAGTAGTATTTTTTGGTGGTCGAACCTAGAAAGAGAATATTCTGCACACAAAACTACACCCCGAAGGAGGATATAGTCTTACTCTATATTGGATACCATAAAACCTCCAAATGAAATACTACTCACACCTGATGTGAGGCTGATGCCATGCTTGAGACGTAAGACTGCATGCACAGCTGCGATCTGAGAGGATTGAGGGAACTGACAGGTACTAAATGGTATATAGTGTGGCCCCCCAACAGCATTCATATAGAGATGCATTTAAGCACAACGTCTAATTATGTCCCTTTTTTTAATACGTATTATACCTTTGTATATACATACAGACATGTAGGTGTTTCTCTCTGTCTCTCTCTCTATATAAATATATTCACACACACACACGTCACCTATATCACTGGATCCTTCACAGCTGAGTCTATTCCATTGTAACTCAGACACTCCATACCCTTCGATTCACGGCTCAAAGGTTTGGGTTGGCGGGCGAATACCCCCTGCTTGAGGAGTATGCCCCAAATCCGATTCGTGGCTCTAAAAGCTTGTAAAGGATACGCTCAAGTGAAGGAGTATCTGACTCCCTGTGCACACCCAGTGCAAATCAAGAACCCACAGATTCCGTGGAACTGTACCCTAAGCCATCCCGAAAGAACTGGAAAAAATGCATGGTATACGTGAGCCTTGAGGTAGATAAATAATGGACTCTTCTGTGCGCCAAAATGTCTTATACCTACATGGGGCTTCCATAAATCATGAATGTGGGCGGGTGGACATCTAGGCTCCCAAAAGGGGACTCCAAGTTCTCGTATACACCAGATAGACCCTTCGAATTTCAGCTGTTCAAGTTCTGGGGAAGTTGGAAAGAAGTCACGACGTTACGTTGGAGTGGGCGCGGGGATTTTTCATGATTTGGCGGTTTAGGTTTCTGTTGTGGGCAGAGGCTTTATACGGGAATCACATGTTAGGTGGGTCGTTTCCCCCGGACACGACGCCCGTATCCTCATATAGGGACCCTAGCACTAGTTAAATCGTAGACCGTAAACCTTAACTGCCAGGAGCTACATCAGAATCCTCCTGTCCATAACTATGTCAGGCTGCCTACGTGGTAACTCCCCACCTAGACTTTGCCTTCATACATGTGCACTTACTGGTGGCTAGTAGGGAATAAGGGAATATATCATAAAGAGGTTTTTGCAAGGATTTAGGTACTTTATATTCACGTCCACACTCTCCTCTAAGCACTCGCCAACATGTGGGCTGCACGTGTGGATCCCTACCGTACCAGACTTGAATCTGCTTTACGGTTCTGGGCTTCCGGCTGCGGATTCCAGGACCAGAATAGCCAAGTGTCATGACAATAAACTGGCGGTAGCAAAGCAAACGCTGCGACCCCTGAGTATTAGGCAGGTACATGATGAAGGCTAGCGTTGTATATAACAGCACGTACAGACTCCAGGATATCATCTGAGCTCTGGTCTAAACTCCTGGTTTTCTTGTTAGTAACCCATGATCCTCCCCTATATAACTAGGTTGGCCCCTAAAACCCATTGAAAGATATCAGTATATATGGTCCCCTATTAAAGCCATTAGGGAAAATATTAAATATCCCAGGGGCCTACCCAGTATAATCCTCTATATAACCCACTTTTTTCGGAGTTTACACTATAGCTCATCGGGCTTTAACTCGGGCTAAATCTTATAAGCCCACATGGGAGTTTCTCAAAAAAGTGGGTACCCTAGGGACTCCAGGGGATATATAGGGATTATATAGGGATTATGGGGGGTCCTTAGTAAGGATTATCTAGGGATTCTTTTGAGAAACTCCTAAATATAGGTGTGGTGCATGCTTGGCATCTGAGGCTGCAGTTTCAGAGGCTTTAGGGTTTAGAGGCTCTGGGGCTGTGGGAACCACATGGGAGTTTCTGAACATCTGCCCCTATCTATAGGGCATTCCGTGACGAGGGACCCCAATATATGCGCATATAGACCCCCAAATACTAGACTCTTTATTCTGAGGACCCCTGAAAAGGCACCCCTGATTTGGGGAACCCCCCATACACTCCTTTCAAGGGAAAGCCATCATTTGCTTTTATCACTTAATCGCCTCGAGTCTTGAACCAATAGACTCCGGGACAACGTCACTATGGCATCCTAATTTCAAGTCTGTGCTTACACTAAACCTTAAGCCTTACTTTTTTTAAGATCCCAAGCCACTCTAATCCCCACATACACCCCTATCTAAACCCCAAACCGATAATCCAAAATCCGTAAGCCCTAAATCCTAATTCCAAAGCTACTTGAACCGCCAATTGTCTCTAGAGGCCTTCCGGTTGGGCCATGTTCGAGATGCTGGAATTTGCCCGAAGAGCTCCTGAAACGCCTTGACCCAAGCCTTCCGATTGAGGGATACAAAGTTTAGGGATTAGGGTTTAGGATTTAGGGTTTAGGGGTTTAGGGGCTTAGGGATTAGGATTTAGGGGTTAGGGGCTTAGGGATTAGGGTTTAGGGCTTAGGGGTTTAAGGGTTTTAGGGTTTAGGGACTAGGTTCCCCAGTAACCCCTTAATAATAAGGGTTTTCCTCATCTTCAGCTTTATTTAGGAGGCTCCAAAATGAAAGGGGAAGAAAAGTACTTCTGGGGTACCCGAGCATCAGGGTTGAGAGTTTCAAAAACCCCTAAACCCTAAACCCTAAAGGGTAAAGGGATTAGGGCTGAGGGGGTAGAGTCTGAGGTCTGGTGAAATTCAAGGTTTGGAGATCCAAGGTCTAAGGGTTGGCGTTTAGGGGATTAGGGTTTAGGGTTTAGGGGATTAGGGTTTAGGGGATTAGGGTTTAGTGTTTACAGAGTTTAGGGTTGGGAATTAGGGTTTCGCATTCCGGGTCCGGGATTGTTGGGCTAGCAGCCGAGGGCCTGATGGCTTAGGGATCCTACTGTTAAGGACTGGTTTAGGGTTTAGGGTTTAGGCTTACCACCCCCCCCCTCAAAATCAAACTTCCCACTTCCCCCGATCGTGAATACCTATATTTCATGGTTGTACAACAGGGTAACAAGCATTCTTACACGGGATGGTGGGACTGAACCCTAAACTCTGCTCCAAGGGGGAGCGGACCACTGATACTTATGCAGACCCCTGGGCGGGTCTACAAAGTAGATCCCCTTAAGGGCTCCTAGAAGCTACCCAATAGTAGTATAGGGTACCATAATGGGGGTTCTACTTTCTAGATCCTCCCAGGGGTCTGGGTATGCCTTAGAAATGAGGCGCTATCGGCTAATGGTGACATGGTGGCGCTTCAAGGGACATAATGTAGACCCCTGATTAATGAACCAGCTCCTTTTCAGCCCTTTTAAAATCCCTATTAAGGGGAGGGGGGTTATTAATCAGGTGTCTGAGTTCTGAGCTATAATCTAATTTCGTGTATACAGCTCCTGGGATATTGAACAGCATCCATATCAAGAAGCTCATGCACTCAAAGCCCTAAACCCAATCCCTAAAACCTGAAACCTATAGAACTTAAACCCTCAAGCTAAGAATAAACAGAACCGGTATAAGGACAGGGCAACTCTAAGTTAGTAACAAAAGCGATCAAAACCATCCCATAACTTAAACTCAAGACATGAGCCCGTTTAAACAATCGAGAAGCCCGAAACTACTTTCCTGGCCTCGCGCTTGTTGCCTGCTAAAGCAGCATCTGGGAGCTCCACGGAAAAAATCGGCAAGTTCAGCCTCTTGCTGATGTCCTGTCTAACCCTAGAAGCCCACTTACCTATATATTGGGTTCCTGTCCTTAAGTCCCTATACAATTTTATACTATCTGTAACCCAAGGACCTACTATATGGGTACCTGGGCTTCTAGGGTAAGGCCTATTATAGGGTTTAGGGTTTAGGGCTTAGAAACCTTAAAGCCTAAACCCTAAACCCCATAGGACTACAGGATAGGCTTATAGAGCTTTTGGCTAGGCCTGCTGATGTGCTGGTTCTCGGTGGGTAGAGTACGAAACACCAAAGGCTACCCTGCGGGAAGATGTACGGATGAGGTACCTTTGCAGACATTCTATGATGCGGAATCATAAGGATTGTGGGGAGTCCGGCTAGTGTGCTCCTTGCTGAACATATTAGTAGCTAAAGGTGAGGCCTAAACCCTAAACTACAGGGGTAGTTCATTGGCTTGCTTCCTCATCCCGACAGCCCTTCAACATGAGTTTAGGGCTTTGTGTTTGGCAACGTTGAAGGTGTACTAGAGCGGGTTACGGCTACCACATGAAACAATCCTTATCCCCTACTCCTTCAAGGGTACAGTACCTCACTCGATAAAAGACTAAGTACCCGAAAGAGGGATGGTATACAAGGGCGAAAACGCGGTGCAAACAAGAGGTGGAAGCCTGATAGCAATCTACGTATGCAGAAGAAACCAGAAGCCGCATCCGAAATCCTAAGTCCTATAAACCCCAACCCCCCAAAACTAAACCTAAACCGAGGCCGAAAAAGTGATTGCTGTCCACTGATGTAGAAGGCTGAACAACTACCATCTTTTGGTCATAAACTCCTTGTACTCATCATGGTGTATCGATGGTCTGCACATATATGTACATATACATATATATATGTGTATATAGATATAAAGAGTACTCCAAATAAACCTTCAGATGAGATTGGTAATTATGTGGGCTTTTATGCCCCTTAAAAACACTCCCTCTAAAATTTACAGTTATGATCATGACAACAAACCACGTACATGTGAAAATTCAGGAAAACCTGTTCCCACGATATAGTCGTTTAG